GCCTCTCTCCATCCCTGCCTCCAGGACAGCCCAAAGGGCCATCTGTAGGGGCCCTTAGTTGCCCCTGCCTCTGCTTCTTTCAGTCACATTTGACACCACCTTTTCCTTCAGGTTTCTAATTGCAATGCCCTTTTGGTACTTTTGAAGACTCCTAGGTTGCACCTACACTGCAGAATTAATGCAGTTTGCCATGGCTTTAACTACCATGGCTCAGTGCTATGGATCTGTAGCTTTGTGAGCTATTTAGCCTTTCCTGCCAGAGAGCTCTGGTTCACAACCATAAATCCCGGGATTCCACAAGATGGAGCCATGGCACTTAAAATGGCGTCAAACTGCATTAATTCTGCAGTGTGGCAGCAGCATTTGTCTTTCTTCCACAACTACCCCTCCAGCACACGTTCTCCTGTCCTTTCTTTCACGTATCTGACAACTGTAACAAACAGGGATCCAAGTGTACCATTTGTAGACTTACTGGAGAAGGTCCAGAGGAGGGCATGTTAGCGTGGTTACGCAGTGCGTGATGATCCAGGTCAACATGCAGCGCCAGTGTCACCACCTTCTCAGATGCAGGCAGTAGCTTGCGAGCTGAAGGAGCACCTCTCTCCTTCCAGAAATAGTAAAGAGACTCTACAGACTGACATCTCTCAGATGAGGCTTTAATCTTGTTTCCTCTATGTACAAGGCTATATACAGCAACAACTCTCAACGACATCAACCACAGTCAACCCACATGTGTCCTAAGGCAACTCCCTTATATACCCAGGGTTCCATGTGGCCTTCTGGCCCTGTCTCTTCCTTTGGACACCTGCCACTCATCCATGATGACTTGGCAGTTTTGCAGCCATTTCAGTGCTCTACAGCACCTTGTGACCATCAGCTGATGTCACTCCCTATGACACAGCACCTGGTGGAAAGTGCTGTGTCATTATGGCTGCCAGTGACCCCTTCATCTCTTGTCACTTGTGAACTAACCCACATTGGACATTTTCCTTGAGACACTGTCTCTACAGGGCAATGAGAATAGTCCAGGTATGGACAACAAGCCTCAGGAAAAAAACACTGACATAAATACAGTGAGTCCTCCTCATTTGCTGGGGTTAGGGGCATAGGATCCCGATGAACGTGGGAAAAACATAAATAAAACCACTTTTTTTTTAACCCGAGAGAACACCTCTCTAGGGATCTCTAGGTCCACTAGAGCACCTCTGTGGTTAACATCAGCTGGAAGGTGACCATAGAATTGCGCTGGAGGACCTACAAATGCCTAGAGAAGTATTCTCTCTCTATATACTGGGTCTGATGGCAAGAGAATAGATTAGGAGGGGGGGAAACCTTAATAATAATAAATCTGGCAATGGAACCAGTTAGCTAAGAGATGGGTAGTCTCCTTCAATTGCTTTTTTCAAGCAGAAACTGGACAACCAGCTGTTGGGAATGAGTCAACTTCAGATTTCCTCCACCAATCCTATAGTTGGATAAGATGGCCTACCAGACATCTTCTTCTCTATGGTTCTATGCTGGGCCAAAGCTAACAAAATGAATTTCAACACAGAGGAATGTAAGGTACTGCACTTATGGCAAAAAAATAAAATAAAAATGAAATGCATAGATATAAGATGGGGGCCACCTGACTTAACAAGACTATGTGTGAAAGGGATCTAGGAGTTCTAGTGGACCACAAGTTG